TCTCCACAATTTATAAAAAAAACTTTTTATTTTTCAATTAATTTTCTTGTAAGGTTTTTGTCACAGGGTGTGTACACTCACTAGAGAGAAGAGAGACAGTGAGAGGGATGGTGAGAAATCACCCCCCAGGCAGATGGCCATACCAAAATCCCTTCTCCTCCATTCTCCTCTTGGGATTTTAGGTACAAATGCGCACATGCCTGGTATGATTTTTAAGCTGCCAGGTCTGGGACTCAAACAACAGTGTGGGAGCCCAGCACCTTAACCACCACACCATCTGCTGACCCGTATCTTGAATTGTAATCTTATATCTATCAGACATGTTACATACAGTCTGTCACCTCTCTTTCAAATTTCTTTGTTTTGTGTCAGAAATTTTATTTTATTTTATTTTATTTTATTTTATTTATTTATTTTTATTTATTTTTGGAGAGGTTTTTGCTACAGGGCATGTGCTCTTGCCAGGAAGACAGAGAGAGACAGAGAGACAGAAAGCGAGAAATCACCCTCCAGAGGGGATGGCCACACCACAATCCCTTCTCCCCATTCCCCTCTCAGGATCTTGGTCATGCATGCACACACACCCGGCGTGAGTTTAAGCCACTGGGTCCAGGACTTGAATTGCGGTTGACTACACGGGAGTCCAGAGACGTAGCCATTGTGCTACCTGCTGGGCCTAAGAAATTTTCTTATTTCTATGTGGTCAAATACACCAACCTTTTTTTAGATAGCCTCTGAATTTTGCATGAATTACAAATATTCTTTTATATTAGAATATTTTTAAAGAATTATTTATTTAATTTTGTTTATTCTTTTGTTTATTTTAATTTGACCAGAGAAAGACATAATCAGGATGGGGAGAAGAGGGAGAAAGCAAGCCACTAGGTCCAGGACTTGAACTGTGGTTGACCATTTGGGAATATCCAGTGCCTTAACCACTATGCCACCTGCTGCCCCCCCCATATATTAGATTATTTTTATACATTCTAACTTATGTTTAGCTTTTTAAACCAGCTAAAATTTATTTTACCCTGTAGTAGAATTCATTTATTATTTTCCTGTCTCAATTTTTACAGTGAATAATGTAATCTTCTTTTTTCTTTTTCTTTATTTTTTGAGAGAGAGATTTGCTATAAGGAGCGTGCCCTCACCAGAAAGACAGAGACAGAGAGACAGAAATCAACCCCCTGGAGGAACAGCCACTCCACAATCCCTTCTCCTCCATTCTCCTCTCAGGATTTTGGATGCATACACACACACGTAACCAGCGTTAGTTTTAAGCCACCAGGTCTGGAATTTGAACCACCTTCAACTACATACGGGTCCAGCGACGTAACCATGACGTGATCCGCTGGTCCTGATTAGTGTAATCATTCCCTCACTGGTTTTATATGTTATAAAGCAATTCTCTCATATGTAGAACAAATGTTTAACATTCTTCTCACTGCACTGGCTTCTTTTTGTCAATTTTTGTACAGTCTGTACCACTTAAATAAGAATTTTTTTCTGAATATGTATTGATATTTGCTAGAAACATAATCAACTCAATGATTCCTGTTTTTCAAATACATCCCTTTTCTGTCTTTTTGAAAAGACAAAATTGAAATAAATTTTATATATCAGAAAAACTTACTGAAATAAAAATGTATATTGGAAAAACTAGCAAATAAATGTACAAGTCAGATGACTTTGTGGAAACTGAACATACTTATGATACCACCACCCAGATTGAGAAACTAAACATGCCAACACAAGGAAGTCCTCTGTTGTCCCCTGCAAGGCACTACCCCGATGATGACCGATGTCCTCACTGCTGACAGCCTGAGCCAGTTTTGTCTGGTTTTGTGCCTTACATCAGTGGAATCAGGCAGACCCGTGGGTCTGGCTTCTTTTGCTTTATGTTATGTTTGTGAAATTCTTCCAGGTTCCCATTTGGTTTGTCAAGGGAACTTGAGGATAAGCTAGTCAATTTCCACAAAAATAATTCCACTAGCAATCTGATTTGGATTAAGTGGAATGTAAAAATACTAAAGTTTTGAAATGCATCACATTGTGCAACTTTAATTGGATTAATTTTATTGCATAAAAATTGAACTTCAGGGAAACAGCAGTTAGCATAATGGCTATGTCGCTGGACTCCCATGTAGTCAACCACGGTTCGCGTCCTGGACCCAGTGGCTTAGAACTCACGCTGGGCGCGAGTGCGTGCGTGCCCAAGATCCCGAGAGAAGAATGGAGGAGAAGGGATTGCGTCATGACCATCCCCCCTGAGGGGTGATTTCTCGCTTTTTGTTTCTATGTCTCTCTCTGTCTGTCTGGTGAGTGCACGCGCCCTATAGCGAAAACCTCTCCCAAAACAAACAAAAAAAACAATTGAACTTCAAAAAGCTGTTTCAGATAAGGCACCCATTCCAACAGCATTATATATGCCCATTTTCTGCAATATTCTCTATATCTTTCATTAGAGATTAAAATTCTCTTCCTTAGTTCTTGCACCTACTTTTAATTGCTATTAAGAATAGGATCAAATTTCCATTCCTTTTTTTTTTTAAGTTTTCACCATAGGAAACGTACACTCAACCAGAGAAACAGAGGCAGAGACAGAGAGAGGGAACATGAGAAATCGTCCCCTGGGAAGATGTTCATATTGAAATCTCTTCTTTTCTATTGTCTTCCTGGAATTTGGGGCACACACACATGATTTTCACACTGCCATGTCCAGGCCTAGCACCTTGGTTAGCAATGAGGGAGTCCAGCATCATAACCACCTATTTGCCCTTTTTAAAATTTTTTTTCTGTCTAGACAAAAGTGAGTTTATTTAAATATTAATTTTTTACCACTGATTCTTCTGCTGTATTAACAGGCAATAGGATGACACTGCACAACAGTGGAGTGAAACTGGGGGTCATGGGGAAAGTTTGGACCCCAGATCAACCTGAACATGTGGGTGTTTTATGAGTGCCCATGATACTGGCTGGCTGGGAGGCTGAGAGAAGGATCGTGGCATGGTAAAACTTGTGAGTGCCTCTCTCTTTCTCTCTCTCTTTCTCTTTCAATAAATAAAATAAATCCTGGTGTTACCTTAACTACATGAGAAAAATAAAATATTTCAGGAGATACAATATTAAAACAAATAGGCAAAATACAAAATTACATAAATCATAACCCATTCTTTCTTTTTCTATTTAAAATTTTTTATTTTTATAAAGCAAAAACTACAGAGTTTTTTTTCAACACAGTACTTTACATTCTTTTGTTGCTATATATTTCTTCCTTTATATGAAATGGCTGCCCGGGTGACTGGATACAAGGTGACACCATAAATCTAGCTATGGAATAAAGATCAAAGAGCAGACTCGGATGGCGTTTAACTGTTCCCAGAGCCTCATTTGGAGATGGCCACTGGGAAGATGAGGATAAGAGTCAGGAACACTGGACAAAGATCAGGTTTTCAGGTTTTATGCCAACACTTAGAGAGACCGTGGAAGAAAACAATGCACCAAGATGGAAAACCTATCCACGCCATAAGTGGAGCTAAGTTGGAAAAAAAATAAAAATTCTGCTCTCTTTTCTGAAGTGTAATAAAATGAGAACAGCAGAATCGGATAGTCTGGGACTGTACATAGGCTCAACAATCAACACACTGTGCAGTGGGAAGTGATCCAACTCTATATATTTAGCCTGTAAAATGTTGAGAGTATCTTCTCTACTTCCTTCGAATTGTCCCAAGGGTAGACTAAAAGCATAGATACAAGGTTATTTTGTCAGGTGCAAGAGGTCAAACAGGACAGAAGCATCCTTAAAGACTGAACTTTTTTTTTTACCAGATCTAGCTGCTTTCCCCACTCCTATAGAAATAAACGTTATGGCTCCTGGAAATGAATTGAGGTAAAGACAAAGTGTGCTATTGTAAAAAAGGGTTAGAAAGCTCCACTTACGGTCATGGAGGACAGAAAAGACTGTAGACATGGGAATACATTGGAGGAGAGGGGATCATTAAAAAATAATTGGTGTAATAGATTGCAAAGGGAGAGATATTAGGAGACATTCAGAGGGGGTCTGGAAGGTTGAGATGTTTAGATTTTATTTAGTATTTGCCTAAGAATATAGAATGCCACTTGAAAAAAATTATTTTAGGAATCTGCAGATGGTGAAATGGTTATATCACTGGACTCCTCTGTTGTCAACTGTGGTTCGGGTCCTGGACCCAGTGGCTTAAACTCACAGTAGGCTCATGTCCATGCATGCCAAAAATCCTAAGAGGAGAATGGAAGAGAAGTGATTGTGGTGTGGTCATCTGCTCTGGGGGATAATTTCTCACTTTCTATGGCTCCATCTCTCTAGTGAGTTCATGTGTCCTATAGGGAAAAAAAAAAGAAATAAAGATTCCAAAATCAAAGAAGAATTCTGACTAAACGAATTTCTCTTATAGCTTTGATTAAGAATGTAAAGTATGCCAATCATTTACCACATTAACTTTTTTTTTAATTTTGAAAGAGAGATTTTTGCTATAGGGCACATATGCTTGCTGGAGACACAGAGAGAAACAAAGAAACAGAAAGCAAAAATCACCCCCCAGGGGGGATGACCATGCCAAAAACGCTTCTCCATTCTCCTCTCAGGATTTTGGGCACGCATGCACACAAGCCCAGTGGGAAAATTAAGCCACTGGGTCCAGGACTCGAATCATGGTCAGCTATGTGGGATTCCAGCAATGTATCCATTACGCCATCTGCTGGTCCTAAGCACATTAATTCTTAAGCTATGCTTCTCCAGGGTTACCTGGGGAAGATGAACAGTAAAGCCTAGCTTGGTTACCAAGATCTCCTTCCCTAGTTCAACTACCCAGCTACACTTCTTCTCTTTAACATACTGAATGATTATGTAGTATGTCATTTTAACACAAGTTTTCATAGTAGGTAAAAATATGAAATAGTATTCCAGTATTAATAATAATATGTTTACTGGATAAATGATGTACTAATCTCAAGTGTACCCATCATAGACAGGAGGGAATTTTCTTCTTACAGATGACTCTTCCCAGGGCTCCCTTCATGTCTCGGTTCCTCAGGCTGTAGATGAAAGGGTTCAGCATGGGGGTCACCACAGTGTACATCCCAGCCATCACAGCCTCCTTCACAGTAGAATTATCAGCTGAAGGACATAGGTAGAGACCAATGATCGTCCCATAGAACAGTGACACCACAGAGAGGTGGGAGCCACAGGTAGAGAAGGCTTTTCGGATACCCCTAGCAGAAGGAACCTTGAGGATGGAGGACACGATTCGTGCATAGGACATGATGATGAGTAGAAATGGGATGACAAGAATGAGGCCTCCCGTGATAAATATCACCAACTCATTAACTCGAGTGTCAGAGCAGGCCAGCTTCAGCAAGGCAGACAAATCACAGAAAAAGTGGGGGATCATGTTGTCAGCACAAAAGCGCAATCTGGCCGTGAGCAGGGTGTGCAACATGGCATGGGACATGGTCAGCACCCAGGACAGCACCACCAGGCAGAGACAGAGGCTGGGGCTCATGATGGTGCCATAGTGGAGGGGGAAGCAGATGGCCACATAGCGGTCATAGGCCATGGCCACAAGGAGGAAGCTCTCCAGGTCTCCAAAAAACAGGAAGAAGTACATTTGGGCCAGGCAACCTGCATAAGAGATAGATGGGTCTTGGCTCTGCATGTTCTTCAACAGCTTGGGAACGGTCACAGAGGAGAAGCAGAGGTCAGAGAAGGACAAGTTGCTGAGAAACAAATACATAGGTGTGTGAAGGTGGGAGTCCAGTCGAATGAGGATGATGATGAGGAGGTTCCCCAGGATGGTGGTAAGGTACATGGCCAGGAACAGGGCATAGAAAAAGCTTTGCTGTTCTGGCTGGATGGGCAAGCCCAGGAGAAGGAACTCTGAGATGGTTTGATTCCTTCCTCTCATAATCAGTCTCTAGTATCTTTAAATGGGGAAAATAGTATTCTTAAAAATCTGGATTGAGAAACAAATATATTTCTATGATCCATTAGGTGTTCTGCAAAATTTCTTTATTTCACCACTATCCACCATTATACATATACTACTCATGTCTATAATGAGAATCTGTATAATTGTAACTTATTTTTTCACTTCTCTTTAACATGTAACAAAATTATATCTTTCATAAAATACTCTTATCTATTTTCTTCTGAGATGAAGAATGTTTGGTTACCTGCCTGGCCAGTCATTCTTGATAATAATTGGCCCCTGTTCTGTCAGTATCTCACATGTCAATGTTCTTCAGGACTTCTTCTAAACTCTATTCTCTTATAACTCTACATAAATCCTCAATAAAAATGCACCTACTCCAATGCTTCAATTAACACTTAAAACTAGGTGAAGAAGTCTCTAATCTACATAACTCTGTATCCTAAGGCTCAATGATTATCTTCCCTTGGGTGTATCACAGGCATCTTAAGCTCAATAAATCCCGAATGAAATTCATAACATCTTTCTCCTATTTCAAATTAATATTTTTCCACCTTTCATATTTAATAAAAGAGATCTCGGTTCAGGATCAGCAGATGGTGTAATAGTTACATCACTGGACTCCCATATGACTGACCCTTCATTCAAATCCCAAATCCAGTGGCCAGTAGTTCATGGTGGGTCATCTGCAAGCATGCCCAAAATCCCAAGAGGAGAATGCAAGAGAAGGGATTGTGGCATGGCCATGATCCCTGCAGGGTGTGTGATTTCTCAATTTCTGTCTCTCTGTCTCTCTCTGGGCCTCTGGTGAGTACATGTGCCCCATAGAAAAAAATCTCCCTCAAAAAAAAAAAAAAAGCAGTAATTTAAAAAAAAAAAAAAGGAGAGAGGACATTAAAAAAAAAAAAAAAAAGAGAGAGAGAGAGAGATCCAGGCTTAAATCAGAAAGATGAGAGTTTTATTTTACTCATTTATTTCTCTCACCATCAACATCCATTCAAGCAAATCCTATATAATCTGCATTAATTGTGTAATTTAATTCACTACTTCATCACCACATTCCTAAACCAGGCTGACATCTTATCTTACCTGGCCTGTTGAAAATGCCTCTCAATTCATCTCCCTCTTCTGTGCTTCAACACGCTTCTCCTCCAACACAGTGTATTCATACAGTGGCATTCTAGGATGAAAATCTGATCATCCTGCTCTTGATTAAATCCTTCACAGGATTCCTATTGCTTCTAAAACAAAGGGAAAATACCCTTCAAGGGCACAAAAGGTGCTTCACAGCCTGATCCTTGCCTTAGACTGCAGCCTCTTCTCCTCCTACAATGACTCTTGCATCTCACTGGACTTACAAGTCATAATTTCTTGTCTCCAGTTTTTTACATTTCTGTTCCTCCTCCCTGGCACCTTCTTCCCACTGCTTCCTCTTTGCCTGGCTTACTCCTATTTTTCTATCAGTAAAATTACAGGCTCTGTAGCAGGAGCTGACTCAGCTCAACCCTCCTTATCTCCAGACCAGGTGAGACCTATTGCTCTGTTTTCTGAGCACGTCACGCTCGTTCCACAGCACTCAATGCCCTTGCTCACTTGTTTACAGCCGACTTCTCGGCCAGATGATAAACCCTGTACAGGAAAGGCCATGTCTGCCTGCAGGACTGCAGCAGGACCAGCACCTGCTACAGCACCTGGATGTAGCTATTATTTCATAAATATGTATCGATTGCCTTTCAGAATGAGACATACATTCCGCACCTTTAAAGACAGCAAAACTGTCTTCAGTTAGAATAACTACCATGGTAATTCTTCCCGGAACAACTCACCTTACCAATTAGCACCAAAGTTTGACACTCTCCTTCATGAATGTAGTTTCTTATTCACGGATAATATTAGGGTACCTCAAATATACCATTCTTTTTTGCTAATACTGACAACTCAGGCTAAACATCTTAGGCTTAAATCCACAAGACATCATTGATATTTGTGTAGGAAAATGTATATGGTGGTAAGTTTAGAAATGATGGGAAGAATAAGCAGAAAAAGTATAATTTCTCTCTTCAAGCTTTCACTTGAGTTCTTCCTCACATATCCATACTCTAGGCGATGGTTAATTTTATGTGCCAACCTCATTAAGCCCTCACACCTAGTTTTAGTAAATATGAGCCTACACGCTGCTGTGAAGATATTCTATAATGAGATGAACAATTAACTCAGTAGACTTTTAGGGAAGCAGGTAACTCTCCATAATGTGGTAGACTTCCTGCAATTAGCTGAAGGCCTAAGAGAAAAGACTGAAGGCCCCTGAAGAAGAAAGTATTGTGTCTCCAGGCTGTCTTTGGGCTCAGGACTGTGACATCAACTCTTCACCAGGTCTCTAGCCTGGGGGCCTGCTCTGCAGAGTTCAGACTGTCTAGTCCCCATAATAGCTTCAGTTATTTCTTAAAATGACTCTCTCTTTCTCTCCTCATATACATACATGTTATGGTTAGGACTTCCAGACAACTCTGACTTTAATATACCCCAGTATATAAAAATTTGGGAAACTCCTTCACTAAAAGCCCACACTGACTCCCAGTTGATGGTGTTTAATCCAGCCTCATAAACAGTTTTACTCTCGGGCATTTTGTGCTGGCATTACAGTGGGAAGAAACATCAAAGTCAAGTCATGCAGCCAGTTTCTCAGAGTTCTACTTCCCTAGTCAAGGAATCCACTCTTACCTGGTCACAAGAGTACGACTAGGAATCACAGAATGGAGATATTACTTGCAGATGCCGCCACTGATGATGAGATTGATCCATTCCTCCCCGCTTCCATCACTAGTCCTCACCCTGGACTAGACAAAGGCATCACCTAGGCAGTGCTCTTAGTATGTAACGCCCTTGCAAATCACCTGGGGATTCTGTTAAAACACTGATTCTGACTTTGTACTTCAGATTCTGCACTTTGGATAAACAACCAGATGATACCAATATGTTGGTCTGTGGACTGCAATTGAGTAGCAAGGACATACATTGCCTTTAAATTTTAGATCACTGAGTCCTTCTCAGATCAATTTAATCACAGTTTCTGAGAGGAGGACTGTGCAATGTTTTCTTAAGCTTCCACAGGTGGTTTTAAAACAAAACTGCACTAAGAAATACTACATTTAAGAAATACTGCACTAAAGCTTGTCGCACAGAGGTATTATCCTTGAATAGTACAATTTGTGAGACTAATTTGCAGATCAACTTTCACGAATGCTATTATTAACAAAGATTAAAATTGAAAAAAAAAAGTACTTCTAGAATGTTGGAAAGTCATAGGAGGAGGAGATGTGGAAAGAAAAAGGTTCTATCTGGAAAGCTGTCCTGCAGAATATCAAAGAACTGGGGAAAACAAGACCTTCAGGCTAGAAGGACATTCATGGAAGAGCTCATACAATCATCAGCTCAACTTACCCGATATGTCTGAGAGTGACTTCGGTGTCCTGACCCAAGACCCTGCCCCCTTTATTTATTCTAGGCATGTGTAGTCATCACCTGTGTCTGCACCAGCCTTCTGACATCTCCCCTTCTTCCCATCCCCAGGCCTAAGGGATGTATCCCTTAGGAGCCTGAATCCTGGAGGAATTCATTAAAAATAAAGTAATTATGGGGACCAGCATGGAGTAACATTTACATTACTGGACTCCCACATAGTCGACCAGAGTTTGAGTCCTCGACCCAGCACCTTAAACTCATGCCGGGTACGTGTTAGTGTGTGCCAACAATCCTGAAAGGAAAACAGAGGAGGAGAGATTGTGGCATGGCCATGCATCCTGGAGGGTGATTTCTTGCTTTCTGTCTCTCTGTCTCTCTCTGTTTCTCTGGCAAACACACATGCCCTATAGCAAAAATCTCTCTCTAAAAAAATGTAATAATAAAATCAATTAATTAATTTTAAAATAAAGCAATTATCGAGCAGAAGATCCCTTATGGCTTCTGCAAAGTAGTCATTTCAGGGTAAAAGAGAAATGAAAAGTTCCTACTGATAATTCAGCCTCCAGCAAATAAGCTAGCGTGGTAGGGAGCTCCTCTATCTAGCCTTCTATCTCTGTCTCTGTGTCTCTGTGTCTCTGTCTCTCCTGCTCCCATCTTCTCATTTTTTGTAATTTTTGCATTTTAAAATTTTTTTAGGGGGCAGCAGTTAGCGTAATGGCTATGTCGCTGGACTCCCATGTAGTTGACTGTGGTTCGAGTCCTGGACCCGGTGGCTTAAACTCACGCCGGGTGCATGTGTGTGCGTTCCCAAGATCCCGAGAGGAGAATGGAGGAGAAGGGATTGCAGCATGGCCATCCCCCCTGGGGGATGATTTCTCGCTTTCTGTCTCTCTGTCTCTAGCAGTCTGTCTGGTGAGCACATGCACCTATAGTAAAAAACCTCTCAAAAAAATTTTTTTTAAAGGTGAAGTTTCTCTCTTGCTTTCAGCTCCCACCTTTTGTCTTGTTAATAATCCCCTCTGCTCCTCCTACCCAGGCAGGAGAGGCAAGGCCTTCAACAGAAGATTCCTCATGGCTCCTGTGAAGTAATCGTTTCATGCAGCCTGCTAATGCATGGTGCGGTTTTTTTATTTTGTGCCTTTTTTTCTTTTTAAAGAAAAACAATAATTAAAATTTTTTCCTTTTTTTCTGTCTTTTTTTTTCTGGTTGTTGTTGCTGTTGTTATTGTTGTTATTTCTCTCTCTCTTTTTCATTTTCTTTTTTCTCATCTCTCCACTTCTCAGATGACTAGAAATCACTGCAGGACCACAGGAAATATGGGAAAGCAAGAAAATACCTCTCCTCTAAGGGAAAAGAATAACTCCTCTTCATCCACAAGCAGTTCAATGGAAATCATGGAAATGTCTGATGAAGAATTTAAAACATTCATAATGGCAAAGCTAACAGAGATGGAAGAGAAGAGAGACAAGGAACTGCTGAAGAGGAAGGAGAAAGAAGTTGATGAGGTCCAGGAC